CCATCTGTTCATCTTTTGAGGAGCTGTTTCTCCTGCCTGTGACTTGGAATGTATGCTCCTCAAGTCTTTAGCTCCTATTGATTCCTCCTCTTCTCTTCCTGTAACTTGGATAATTTCCAGTGTGCTTTTTTTTTTTTTGGTTTTGTTTTTAACATTTAAATCTCATCCATCAGGTCATTTGTCCCACCTACCAGTCAATCAACCCAATAAGCAACAAACAGACTTTCCTATAACTATATTCTGCATTAGTTATTGCTCTCTACTTTCCACCTCAGTCAAACCTTTCCCAAGTATTACCTTTATGGTTCACTTCATTTGCTATAGTCATTTCTCCATCACACCATTCTGGCTTTTTTCTAAAATCCTAATGATCTTCATAAAAAAATGTTGACCTACTGAGGGAGTAGAGAGATCGCTGGCTAGAGAGCTGGCTGGCAAGGGCTCATGATAAGATAGCAGACTGAAGCTGGGTGCTTGAGGCTGGGTGTTTGAGGGAGCAGAAAGCTGACAGGCAAAGTCTCCTGCTACTAAGCTAGCAGGAAGAGGCTGGTGACCACAAAAGGCACATGAAGGCACATGGTAGCTTGTGGTGTCTTCACACCTCTAGATGGCAAAGTGAGGCAATGAGGCAAAGGCGGAGTAATGGAAAAGCACCAGAGATCTCTCACGGTGAAAGATTATAAAAGTAAACCTACCTCTAACAGTATGGGCTCTTCCCTTAGACCCCCTCTCACCCCCCTTCTGCAGTCAGGAGTCTGTCTTACAATAAAACTGAGCTTGCTAACCTTCAGTCCAGTGTGCCATGGTTGTTCTCAATCACTCAGAAACAAGAACCCACCCAATGGGCACCCCTCAGGCACACCACCTTATTATACAATGATGATGATACTTTCTTTTTGAAATAGTTAACAACTCCCCACCCCCCCCCTACTTCCACTCTGGGCTTATATGAAACAAAACAAAACAAAACAAAACAAAACAACTTTTCATTGCTTTTTCTATCACCTTTCCTTTTTTTTTTTTTTAAAGATTTATTTATTAATGCATACAGAACTGGGGTACAGGCTAGAGGTGCAGGGCCAGTGAGAGGATTCACCAGAGACAGAGTGAGATCAGAGAGCAGAGTAGGCAGATTGGTGAAGTACACTACTGAGGGGAGCAGCAGGTGAGACATAGGAGGTCTGCTGTGCCATATGGATCACCTACAGGGCTAGGGATCAAACTTGCACTAAAGTGGCTGTGGCTAGCTTACAGTGCTGCATCCTAACTTACTGGGCCACCAGGGAAAGCCCTCATCGTTCCTATTATACTGCCATCTACTTGATCACTAAGTGATAGAGGCTGTGAAAGACTCTTTCCTTGGTTCATGCCCATGCATATGATTATAATTACTATGTATACAGAAATAAATTAGTTTTTAAATCTCCAGCCAAGATCACTTTTCTGTATTCTAGAATTATATATCTGATTGTTTACTTGACATCACTTCTTGTTCTTCATGATATCTCAAACTCCATACACACAACCCAAGTCCATCTTTCCAGGGTCTCATATTTCGGTTAGTTACACACATCTCTCCCCAACTATGTTAAACAAAACCTTAGCATCCTTTTATCACCTATATACCATCTCATGACCAATTTAGTGGTGATATTTCTCAAATTTGCGTCTTCAGTCTTTACCATTGTAGATAAGCTAGGAGCACCTATTGTTTAAACTTCCTTAATGGTTTTTTAATTGGTCTAGCTACTTCTCTATACTATAGCTATAGTTATTTTAAAAGATGCAAGTCTAAGTAGATCATTATTTTGCAACCATCCAGGCTCTAGTGATCTGAAGAATTTTCAAGCCCTTGGTGTCATTTTCACGGATTTTATTGGTAAGTAGGGGAAACAAGCCAGCAGGAAGATAATAATGTGAGCCTGAGTCCTCAGGGTGATGCTGCCCTTTTATCCCCACCCTCCTAGCACAGGTGTGCAAACTTGCTCATGGGCACACACCCACACTTGAGTGTCCATAATCAGGCATGCAGGCCCGACACTCACTCACCTGGCAAGTTAATGAGATCAAGGCTGCAGGTGATAGCAACAGAGGACAAGGGTGTAAAAAATCTGATCAACTTCATTTACTCTTCAATCACCTTTTACTTAAAATCTCTACACACCTTCCTCTGTTCCAAGGATAGAGGCAAAACATCTTACCTGATCTATTGGGTTTACATGCTCTTATTTTCCTGTCTCAACTAGCATAACCAAAGTCCTTATTTTCTAGTATCAGCTCAGCTGGTGTTCTTTATCATTTACAAATTATTTTGGTATACTGGGCCTATTGAGAACCCGTAGAGCTTAGTGGCTGAGCATAGAATACTCATTCTATTTTTCAAGGGAACTGTTCAAATTGTGATTTTACTACTTACTTAGTTGTGCAAGCTTTGATAAGTCATTTTACTTCCTATGTGTCCGTTTCCTCTAATGGAAAATGAGAATAATCACAATATCTACCTTTAGGTTTTTTACTATGATCAAATGATTTAAAGGAATGGCTCTTCCTTTCCCTTTATTCTCCAGTTAATCTTCTTAAACTTTTCTCAGTTCCAGAGTCACTTTCTCTGAGAAGCCTATGCTGACCTCTCTGGCTGCATTGAATTACTCCATTATGTACTTTTTCATACCTTGATGTATTTCAATGCAATTTTATGCATCGATGCAATTTGATATTTTTTTCTTATTTATTTATTTTTTAAAGATTTATTTATTTATTTGTATAGAACTGGGGTACAGGCCAGAGCTGCGGAGGGGATTCACCAGAGACAGAGTGGGGAGCAGAACAGGCAGATCAACTAAGTACACTGCTGAGGGGAGCAGCGGGCGGGTCAGGAGAGGTCTGCCACGCCATGTGGTCACCTCCGGGGCAGGCGGGATTCGAACTCATGCGGAAGTGGTTTTAGCTTCTCAGTGCTGTGCTTTAACCCGCTGCGCCACCAGGGAGGGCCTCTTATTTATTTATTTTTGGTGAATCATCAAAGGAGAACAGGAATGGTGTCTGCTTTTGGTCACTATTCTTTGGGTCTTACATAATGTCTCTGTATCCAGTAGTTTCCCAAAAATATTTTTTGTCAGAAATAGATGGTAAACTTCCCCAATGGAAGATTCCTTGATAACCACTTTTAATGATTAAGCTAGTGCTTTGGACAATAATAATTTCAGAGAAGGAACACACGGCAGTGAGTCAACCAGTGAAACTTGCACATTTGCTCCTGTTTTCTAGAAGGTGATTCTGAATGGGAGGAGTCTCTGCTTGAAAAAGGCAGAGCTTTGGGAAGATTATGAGTCAAATACACAGACCTGGGTTGGAGTCCTGGCTCCTGTTGCAAGTGACCTCTTTCACATAATTTGAGTTCCTATCGTCTCATTTTTCTCATTTGTTAATTATACCACAAGCAGCACAGCCAATTCTTGTTAACTAGACAACTTAACCTTTAAGGGCTTTGAGTAACTTTAAGCATCTTACATGATTATCTATGGAACCATGCCAGTGATTTGACTTGCTCCACGTGTAAGCCAGTAAACATTTTGTAGCACAGTGATAGGCTGCTATCCCATCATTATCATCATCATCAACCCCACCCTTCCCAAAGTTAAAAAAAAAAAAAGTGCTTTCGGTGATAAAATACAAGAGGGTATCGATTAGTGTGAGCAGGGAAAACAGAATTTCAGTGGAATGCCATGCAAGGATGCAAGGGAGATTTTTCTTCCCTGGTACTTGAAGTTCAAGCTTGAGAGAAGCAGTGGTGGTCTGGTCAGGGCAGGTAGTATCAGAGTTCATTTGCTGGTCATCCTCCGTGAGAGATTGACCTTGAAAAGAGAGAAGAGTCCTCAGTCCTGGACTGGACAGCCCAGCCCAGCCCAGCCATGATGCCAGCTGAATCCAACTAACCAGAACTATAATTTAATTGCTTTCCTCTTGTTTCTTTTTAAAATCAGCTAAATCTATTCCACAGAATCACATAGAACCTGACTTCTTCACTTTAATCAAGCGAAAAAAGAAAAAGACAAAACCCTTCCCTCACGATAGAGTAAATCTCTTGACTACTTCCTGTGCATCTGGTCAGGTCACTGTTGAAATGAGAGCAGGGCTCTGGACTGCAATCCTCAGTGGAGGTGTGAACTGCAAGCCTACAAAGCCAAAGTGAGGTCTGTAAAAGATGGGATGTAGCCCTCCTTCCCCAACCCCTAAGCCTCGGCCTTCTCTCTCATTTCAAACTTGTGTGGGACCAATGAGGGCTATGAGTTTCAGGGTGTAATGTGTATTTGTACCTAGCAGAGAACCTGGTGTGTAGCTCCTGTGTGTTTCACAGGAGCATGCTGTGCTTGAACTTGGCATGTGTTTGTGTCTGAAGAATGATGAGAGTATGTAGGGTCATAGGATTTGTACGTGCATGTGCAGAAAAGTGGTCATATGTGCATGATGTATGTTTAGATGGTTTGTGTCTGCCTCGTGTGTGCTCAGGACGGTGCCGCGTTGGAAGTTGGCGAGTATCTGTGTTTGAAGAGCTGTGCAAGTTTGTGTGTGGGACATGTAAGTGCAGAAAAGTAGTGTGTACGTGGTGAGTGTGTGTGCGCGCACGAGTGTGTGCTAGCGCCAGGGGCCGCCCGCGCGACTGCCCGCCCGCCGGCCGCGGCTCCCCGTGGGCCGGGAGTGGGGGGCCCCACCGACAGTGTCCCCACTGGCCCCTCAGCAGTGTGCCTCAGGGGACCCCGTTCTGCTCCCCACTCTGTCGCTGGGGAGTCCTGGCACCCCCGTGCCTCTGGCTTGTACCCCAGTTCTTCAGTGCTCGCATGAATAAATCTCAGGCC